AAATATTTAAATAATTTTATAAAATGAATTTTTTTATTTTATAAAACAATTTTTAGATACATATATTGTATTACTTAAACTGTATCAAATCATATAATCATAATTATTAGACGAAATGTTTAAACTTTTAATTTGGAAACCCCCCTCATTTAATTGTCTTTACTTTACAATTAAATATAATTTAAACTATAAAACATGAGGTTGTTATATCTATATATATATTGCATATATATAAAAAAGAAAAAGATTGTATATAAATTGATGATTCAAAATCAGGATGAATCTAATCAAATTTCTAGTTAGAGTTAGATCTTAACTAACATCAATTATTTAGGATTTATTTAGTATGTTTTTGGTTTTTTATTTTTTATTTTCATTATTATATAATAAATAATACTATATTTAGATTAAATTTAATTTTAAATAAAAAGTTTTAGTTTTTAAATATAATAATAAATTATTAAATTAAATATATAAAAACTAAGAACAAAAAATATATGAGTACTAAATTCCATCTTAATAACTTAAATAACAAAAAATTTATATAACAAAATAATATTGTACAAATCAAATTATATCAAATTTATAACTTTAATTATGAATAGGGGGCAGCCTTCAACATAATTAGGAGCCTACCTCCGATAATTTTTGTTCTATAATTCATGCAATTGGAACATAAAGATAACTTTCTAAAATTTTTTATTTAGGGAAAATTTATAAAATGACAATAGGTAAGGCGGGTTGGGCAATCTCTTAAAATCTGGAGTGAGAAAGTTCCGCATCGAAACGAAATGTGGAAAACTTGGCGTTGATGGTTTAGGTGCTGTAAGCGTGTAACAATCTAGATGGAACCGGGCCGACGTAGATATGACAACGAACAGCTAACTTGTAGTAGATAGAGGATGGGCGTTCGCCGCGTTCCAACCTCGTTGTCTTTCACTATTGGGTTGAATTGAATTGAAGCCCACCAGCTATTTGGTCCTAATTCTCTGTAAGAGTCCTGATTCCCCAGACTGGACATTCCAAAATCCAAGGAGCCCATTCCAATCTCGCAGCCCATTACTTTCAAGGTCATAATAGTCAGATTCATTTATTTATTTATATAATATATATGTTCTCAAGATACATATTAAAAATATAATTAATATATATTTTTAAAATTAGTATTTATTTTGCTTTATCTCTTAAAAATAATGAGAAAAATTATTTTAAAATTATGTAATTTTAATAAAATATTT